CAAATTGCTAGAAATATTTCCAATCGATTGATGCCATTATCTTGTAAATCTATCGAGAGACGGTTGAGTTATTATCGTTCAAAATCTTTTAATTTTTCGTAACACATCCAAAATGACTGTTTTCAATTTTGTACCCCCGTATGTTGCCGAAAGACGTTATCCAACGTCAAAAAACTAGCCCATCTGGTGGATGATGGCACAAGCTTCCAAGAAAATTCTATTACAGTGAACCACATTATTTAAATGGATTTCTTCGCCAGTTAGTCGTCTGTCACTTCGTTTGTGCTATTACACCTCATATCAACAAGCAAGAAGGTAGATCTCTTTAAACTGATTATGTGATCGATGATATGTAGAAAGTTCGAATTAACTTTCATTTCAGGAGTACGAAAAATTTCCTGTCGGCAAGAGGACTGATGAACCAATGTTCTCCATATATGAAGTTTTCAAAATTAATGGTAACCCGACCAACCATTTTGTTAATTTTGTTTAATTTTCTATACATCGATCTTCAAAGCCATTCATAAGAAAAATCGATAGCGATCGTCACCATTTCATGAATAATTGTAAAGATGCTAAAAGTCTAATCGTGAATCGTTTATAAAGATCTGTCTCAAAATATTGCTATCAATCGTTACCAATGTTAAAATATCGATTGTGTTGCCAGATCAAAATATCGATTTCTGTTGTAAAATTAAAATATCGATACACAACTGCTGATTTTATTTGTGATTTTTTATCTGCATAATTTCTAGTTTCGATCCCAGGCCATCTGGGGTGTACTGATTTCGTTGTTGGTTGCTAATCCTCGGGTCCACGGCTGCTGTTGATGAGCTTATCAACGACAGGCAAACACACTCTAGTATGTGGTGTATTGAAATTTCTGTAAATCTTTTCATACATGAATTCAATATTGTTTTGTCATAACCATCAACCAGTCAGCCATGTAGGTGTAATAGAGTTCAAAAAGGTATTAATTTTCCTCATTGGGTTCCAAATGCCGAGAATCCCACCACGCATGCTATCACGGGTTATTAAATATAAAACGTGAAGAACTACAATGGTAAACATTTGCTGCGTCACGGCCATCGGTCTTCTCGTTCATTTACCAGCAGATTGCTTCTTCCGATGAAATGCCGAATATGTCGATAAATAATATAAACATTGCTATCTGTCACCTGGTGTGTCTCGAACTCTCTTTAACCAGCGATGCAAATCGATAACAAGGAGATTATCACCCTTATTCTGTATTTCGTTTCGAACGAAATTCTCATACAAAAAAATATTTTTTTGTATGAGAATTTCGTTCGAAACGAAATACAGAATAGGGGTGTATAAATGTGCATCGATGGCAATCTTTGTTGTTCTTTGTCAAAGTTACGATGATATCAGTATTTAAATATTTATTGATGAATATTTGTAAAGAATACTAAAGTCCATGTGAGATATCGAAATTAAAAGAAATTTAGTATGGCACCTTTATAGATTACTATCATATGACCGATGAAGAAATAATCTTAAATGTAAGTATCGAGCAATAAAGATTTTTAAATGTGTACTTCGAAATCATAGAAAATTTAAAGTAAAGGATTGCCGACATAAATCTTTATTTCTGTATAAAGCACTTTGAAGAAGTTTCACGAACGGTTGGTCGGGAACTTTGCAATGTAACGAGATGTAACCTTAACGTTATTATTTTATCTTTTAATAAATATGTTGTTTACTTTTCTCACATTCTGTAAAATTACTCATTTTATATACCGATATTAGAGTCGGTGTATAATGAGTCACGCCAAGAGAAAAACAGTTGAACTCGCATCACGGTTTTCGAAAGATTCCCTTTCTTTTCACTTGGCAACAGAGGACTGCTACATCAACTTCAAATGACTTCTAGCGAGCAAAAAAAAGTAGCGCCTGTTGTAAATCATTATATCAGTGATTTTGTCCAATCATCTTAACAAAAAATAGTAGAAATTCTCATTACTGATCGTTACCAAACGTATCATATGACGATTCAATGTTCACTGCGTGTATATGATCATTTCTTCGATCATATTTTATATTTTATTGCAATACCTTTCGTGGACCTTTCATAGCATCGTAATGTTTGTTTACTTTGCACGATAGGTAGCCGGTTTGACAGTTCAATAGGTAGACTTGGCTTCACTCTTGGCGTGACTCATTATACACCGACTCTAACCGATATATTTTACAAGAACTGAGTTACATTCACTCAGTTTGGCTAATTTCCCGAAAACCGGAACTGAGTAGAAGTTACTCTGAATTTGACAAATGCATCCATTACTCAAAAATGAGTAACTTGGGTTTAGAGTAGTTCCACTTTAACAAAGTGAGTGGATTTCTACTCACTTTCGAGTAAAAATGAATGAGCGTGTAATGAAAATTTGCTCTTGATTTGATAATTTGAAAGAAACCATGTGATTTAGAGAATGGAAAAGATTTATAAAATTCGTTCATTGAATGCAGAAAACTTACTTATATGATTTACATTTTGAGTTCTGCCAGCATTGCACGAAAAGGGTTTAATTACAACTTGGGAAAGTTTAAAGAAATCTCTTTTTTCACAGATTCTGTGGCCCTGAAAAGGGCCGTTTGATTTTTGGTCACTGAAATTTTACTTCGTCTTGGAACTGGTGTACTTGGTGACGGCTTTGGTTCCCTCGGAAACGGCGTGTTTGGCTAGCTCTCCTGGCAACAGCAATCGGACAGCGGTTTGAATCTCACGAGACGTCATCGTCATCCTTCGGTTGATTTGAGCCAGTCGAGCAGCTTCACCAGCAATCCGTTCGAAAATATCATTCACGAAACTGTTCATAATGACCATAGCCTTGGAAGAAACGCCAGTATCGGGATGAACCTGCTTCAGAACTTTATAGATGTATCCGCTGTAAGTTTCCTTCCTGCGACCGGTTTTGGCAGCACGTTTCTTAACCTGGTCATTGGAAATAACCTTCCGACCTTTGCCAACTTTCCTCGTTGTAGCTTTATTGCCGCTACCGGTGGTACTGCTTGCCTTTGGACTTTTAGGAGCCATCGTTGAAATGCACTTGAACTGAATGAAAGTCGTATTATAATTGATGCAAAAAAAAAAAATCGACTGATTTTATTCGTATGACATACCAATGTAAGCTCCGCCTTTTTTACATAGTTCACACAATGTTGATTTGTTGCTCCGCCTTTATGACATGTTCTGTGCATCGCATTTGGTACTTATTAAAATTTAATGAAAAATTGGTTTTATTCGAAGATTTAGTCCGGTTGTTTGAGTTTCTGATTGTTAAAAGCTGTTTGAATTGCAGAAAATGTCTGGTCGCGGAAAAGGTGCCAAATCTCGAAGGGCGAAACCAACGTCGCGCTCGCGGCGTGCCGGTTTGTTATTTCCTGTTGGCCGAATTCATCGGTTTCTACGAAAGGGCAACTATGCCGAACGGATTGGCGGAGGCGCTCCTGTTTATCTGGCTGCGGTGTTGGAATACTTGGCAGCAGAAGTTTTGGAGCTTTCCGGAAATGCCGCTCGTGATAACAAACGGAGCCGCATCATTCCCCGTCATCTGCAGTTGGCCATTGGGAACGACGAAGAATTGAGTAAGCTGCTGCACGGTGTGATGATCGCCCAAGGCGGAGTGCTGCCCAACATTCATACGGTGCTCCTACCGAAGAAAACCCCGAAAAAATCAGAAGAGCAGTAGGAAACAGTTCGGAAGGAGCCGACAGAGAACAAAACCGTCCTTTTCAGGACGCCCAAAATTTTCGGAAAGAGTTACTTTTTACAAATTTTCATCGGTTTCATACCACATAAGATTGGGCGATCTTCAGAGAAGGATCGATATTACATCTGGCTCAAGGGTCGATCCACTGATAATATTGGGACCTAGGCTGTGTTTCATTTGGTGAATAATTCTCGCGTCACTTTTCAAATAGACCAATGTTACATATCCACCATTTTGAGAAAATCGAAGTTGAAGTTCGACAGTTTATTATTTAAACTCAGTTACTGTTTAGAAACAATACATTCTATTTTTAATGTAATCAATGTATAATAACGTTGAAAATTCAGTACAAACGGTAAAAATCACTAAATTATTTTGATTTGAATTTCAAGTTTCTTTGACGTATGTGAAATGCACAAGTATTAGTGCAGAACTCGGGGTAATAGTGAAAGAAAACCTTTGAATTTACCCAAAGTTCTGCACTAATACTTGCGAAATTCACAAGCGTCAGAGAAGTCTATACACACACGACTAATTCTAACTAAATACCCCTGTTTTATAACATTTAAAAAAACTTCTTTTTAAGAAATCGGTGTATAAATTTCAAACATTTTTAAGTGTTTTCAACGGCCGTATGCTACAGCTAGTACCGCATTGTACAACATAGATTCAAACCTGAAGGTGCTAGTGAGATCTGTTGCCTACGCAAAGGCGGTTGGCCTCTATTCTAAATATTTGGACCAACAATTGAAAAGGGCCTATCAGATTATGTATTTAAACAAAACTTTGTAAGCCTTTCGTAGACCACCAACAGTATCAACAGGTAGGGGCAACTTTCCCCTACACAATAATGCTGTTGGTTTGCGTGGTAGTGATGTTTAAATAAATTCGAATTAACTCCTGCAAGCCATTTGCTGCCTGGCTATTGTCGATGTCAATGTTGAAGCCAACCCAGGATTCTTAGCAGCTGCTGCTCCAGTTGCATACTAGACATCATTGGCATACAGCTATCCATCGGCAGCACATAAGCCTACCCAAGTAATAATACAGCGCCCCCCGCCTAGAGCGCTGCCGCTGCCTGTATTCAATTCCGTTCGTTGCCAAGACTGTTGCTGCTGCTCCGGCTTTCCCATTCTTCCGATCGGCTACCTCTCCAGCATTCATTTAAATTCGACTTGTAGGTATTTTCGGATGACCAAATTATCTAGAATCCTTCGAAGCAAAACTTGAATCCTAAAGACGTTTCTATTTCGAAAAAGACGCTGCGAATTATGTAGCGTAGAATTGAATCAAACAATCTTTATTCCATCTAACAATCTTTTAATGAATAAAACTTTCTAAATGATGTTGAAAAAAAAATAAATGAACATTACAATCAAACATGCACCTCCGAAATTATTTCCTCGGTTACCTTTTAAGAACCGTAAGCCTTAATTCTTGGCCACTAACTGCTTATCGTTGCTGTCCAAGTAATCGTACGCCAGCTTCGCCATCACCACGCCGGACGACAGCCCCAGTGCCGTGGCCAGACCCTGGTTCCTTGGGATGGCACTTCGCAACACGGCCCAAACCAGCACCGAACCGAAGCTGAACAGAACCGCTCCGCAAAAGCTATAGGCGGCACGACGCTGCGCCGGAACGGCAGCCAAGTGCGGGCGACTGTAGAAGTACAGTGTCGTCCCGAACAAGGTGTGGACGAGCAGGAAGTTTGTGACGTCCCGCTTGGGTAGCAATCTGGTGAATAGGAAGTTTAGGTGCATTAGAAGATTGGAACGCAATGAGTGTTTACAATGTATAATGTAGTTATAATATAAATATAGCCGTGTGTACCTGATGGCGATTGATGGGTTCATGACGTTTACCGAGAGAGCCGCATAGCTGACCATACTTTGCAGCGGAAAATAGTAGTACAGGATGTTCTCCTTGGTCAACGGCTTCAGGCCGAGTTTCTTCACGATTGACTGGTTAGCCTCGGCCATCGCGGATGTGTTGCTGGTTAATGCCGAATTGGATATACGATGACTCGGAACCACGGAACGAACCGGGGTGAGACTTTTCGATTACTGGTTGTGTAATATTGACCACAATGTGACACTATATACCTGTCACTGTGTGCGGCGCTGTCGTCAGTAGATGCTGTCAGATGGGTTTGGTAAACAACATTGATTTGTGTAGAGATTTGGTGGCATAGGGTTAACAAAAGCGAAAAAAAAGCCGCAGCGGTCTTTAATATATCACCGACACGCCGACATTAAGTATGAACTTAATTTTTGTTAAAAATAATCTGTTTCATACAATACTGTCAAAAATCAAACTTTTTAATTTTTGAGATTTTGATGACAAATGACGGCAGCTATTGTGAAGTTTCATCCCACAAAACCCATTTTGAAATTCGTGACAAATAGAAAGTTATACCCTAATAAAAATTGTATGGTTAATTTGCTTAACGACGTGTTCTGGGTATCATTCAAACCATTTGTGGAATAGTTCAATGATTTGGGTTATCGTTCGTTTATGGTTATTTTTTATTAGGGTAGCACAAACGAAGTGACAGACGACTAACTGGCGAAGAAATCAATTAAAATAATGTGGTTCGCTGCAATAGAATTTTCTTAGGCTGGGAACCATTTGCCGAGTTAAATTTAGCTCGTGGTTAAAAGTGACATTTCGAATGTTATTTTCTATAAAAAAAATTTAACTTCTTGTCTGTCAGAAGTAACCATTCTCGGATAGCAGGGTTAATCGATAAAGTTCCATCTGTCAAATTTTAACCAAAAGTTAAAATAATCCACCAAATGGTTCAGAGCCTTAGAAGCTTGTACCATCAGCCACCAGCTAGTATTTTTGTTTTGATTTGAACAAAGTTGATTTTGTGTGCAATGATCTTTGACAGTGTGCAAAGACTGTATCATTTTGTCATTCTTTTTTATGCATTTCAGTTTTGAGTAGAGTGAAAGAGATATAACAAAAACACACTAGTTCATTTGGTGAAAATGCTAGTACAATCCAGTAGTCTCGGCATAGAGTTAACTCTAAGCCCAGAATGTCCCGAAGAAACGTGCTTAGCTCTGGTACTCAAGCTAATCGATGCACCCGTCGAAACATAGGAAAATTCACGAAGCCCTCATTTTATCTGTCAAACTTGCATAGCGAATCAAAACAAGCATTGTGTAGTACTAGAATTTCGACTAGAATGGGGTACGTCAATCGATTTGCATGGGACCAATAGGCTTGTAATGTAGTGAGCCAATTTAAAATCATTAGTTAAAAATTATCACTCTAAAGCTTCATGTTAATATTGGCATAGCATTTCCATTTTGATCAGATATTTGATAGAATGATCTCGAGAATGATTTGTTTCCCTTGATTTGTTTTCCGTCGATCTTATTTTCCGTGCTGAGCACCAATGCTACCGACGCCAGGGAGGCAGCTCCTTCACCTGGACCCTACCTATCGACCCATCAACTCATGAACCGGGGACCAACGGCTTGTTGATGTTATGCTTCAGAACATCCCGGCGGCGCCGACTGGGAATGGACCCAGGCCTGCTGGGGTGAGAGCTGATCACGCTTACCACTACACCACCGGTGCCACTAAACTCGAGCATGCTTGAAACACACTCGTTTCAGTCCAACGGAAATGAAAAGATTAATAAAATTGAAACAGAAATGCAGAAGGTGTTTTGAACTCAAATTTTCAAACGTTGATAGTGAATATTCACAGATTTTGAGTTGTCAGTATTGCAGTAGCAATTAAGTTCGTTTTCTGAGCACAGCGATATTTTTTTTTTCGAACCCACAAACTTTCATCTCGATTTTTAAATCAAGATTTAAAGCAAAATAATAACTTCACTGTTTGACACTAAACTGACAAACTGACAGCTCGGTCCCATTCAAAGTGACACCGAGGGGCGCTTATAAGGTGATTTTTGCAAATGTAATCATTCTTATTTAAAATAGTTCTATAGTGTACCAACATTGATGGAATTTTGGGTTTGGGTTCCATTTTTAATGCAGATTACGAATATGAATTTACCTCAATACCTTTAAAGAACCCAATTAAGAACAATTTCTTAGTTTTTTTTCCGGAGTTTTTCATGATTGTTGGTTTCGCCCTTTTTATAATGTTCATTCTCCGGCGAGTTCTCCGGTTATGAACCCTATCCAGACGTGTAGAAATTCGACTGTGTAGACTTTTATTGCTAGCTTCAGTTCGCCAAACTTTTCGAAGGGTCAGGCCTTGTGCTTACAGAACTTTTAAAGGTGTGTTGGTGTTTTCGTGTTTACTGCTTGCAGCATGCATGCATTTTTTTGTTCGGCCGTTTCTGTCAAAAATCGCAATCTTCTTGTTCTCGGTGTGGAACGGTGTGTTCAGTGCGCGAGTGATTTTTAGTGATTTTCCTGAGGGTTAAGCTTGAATTCGTCGCTGGAAAGGATATCGAGGTACGTCAGAAGTTTTGTATATTTGAAAGACTCAAGTAAAAGTGGGAGGAAATTGAATTTGATATTATATTTTCACAATATTCTAGACAGTGGCATAAGTGCGAGTCAAGGAATGAATGAAAAAAAATCAAGAACAGAACAACTTTGTTCTCACACCACAGAGAGCTTGAGGCACCCACACACACACACACACACACACCCATGTAGCGTTGGATGGAGCTCTGCACGCTTTTTCAAAACTACCCAAATTTGAGTAGGATCTACCAGATTGGTCAAAACTGAACCTATTCAAAAATGGGTAACTTAAGTTTGGAGTGACACACACATGGACAACATTGAGCTGAATCCGATCGATTTTGTTCATTTGTGAACTTTTAACCCTCAACTTAATTTATTCATTTTTGAAAAGCTTCACTCTGTACCGATATGAGTGGATCCTACTCAAATTTGAGTAGTTTAGATATAGCGCGTAGCGTGTGCTCTGATGTGAAGCGTGTAGTGCAACACATGTGGTGTGGTGTGTGGTGCCGTATTCCGATTCTTTCCGCGTTCACCAATACATTTGCATTTTATTTTGTTTACCTTCGTATTAATAACAAAACAACATCGTTTTCGCGACAAAGGGTTGCTTGCAGCTTGGTTGTTTGTTTTTGTACACACATTATTTACACGGCCACTGATAATAACTCAGTTGTATAGTAAACCCCACACCTTTTAAATATATTGACGCGAAGGGGAATTATTGACAATAATATTGATGATGTGAATGCAGAAATATTGTCAATACCGATGTATCGACGTCAATATTGAATGTATTGACAATACGATTATTGTCAATAAAAGCAATCGTGTGGGGTCCACTTATGAGAAATTTCTAAAAACGGCAGGTACTCGCGCTGAGTTCTTGCAGTTTTAGGAAATTTCTCCGTACCTCTGAATAGAAGTAACTCTCACTCTGAGTTATTCTCAGTGGCCGTGTATAACGGAAGTTACAGTCAAATGTCCACAACCTGATATTTTCTTTAACTCCATGGATTCAGCGGTCCCTTCATTTTGTTTTTCTTTTTTCGTACTCTCCATAAAACACAGGCCAGATTAATAGTTATAACATGTTATAAACCTATCTTTATGAAATTTTTTTTTGTCGACAATTATTATCATTTGTTATATCTATCAGGGTTGCTTCCACTCACTTGCTATAATTTTGTTTTCAGAATTATGAAACTATTAGTTGTTATAATGATATTCGGTACTTGTAAGATACAAGAAGATTGTAAAGTATGCGTTTGACTCATAAAACCTGTACATTTCGGTTTCAGAGTGTCACAATTAGCGATTTTATAATTCGTGAGCATTCACTCAGAGTGATTTAAACTATGTAGTCTGAACAAGGCATTATTTTGATTCTATGACTCGATATGTCAAAGATAGAGCTTCTGAATTCTATGATTTTGATGTTAAACCCATTGGCCACATCAGAAAATGTTCCTGGTTTCGGCGGGGGAAATGGTTCCTACTTTTAATTCATTTCAGAATCTATCATGAGTCAAATCAAACCGGTTTTATTGAGTACTCAGGGCGATAGTGTCACATCCAGAAATGTTCCAGATGCTCTCAGAGAAAATATCAATACTTACCTTAACTTACCAATCAGGCTAAGGCCTTGTTGTCCTCTGCTGTCCGAAGAAGTCGTCTCCACTCTCCTCTATCCATGGCCACACTTCGCCAGCCTCGTAGTCTGCGAAGGGTCCGCAGGTCACCTTCTACTTGGTCGATCCACCTTGCCCGCTGCGCGCCTCTTCTTGTTCCTGTTGGGTCGCTTTCTAGAACCATTTTCACTGGGTCGTCGTGCGGCATTCTTACAATTTCTGCAATTTGATGTTCATTCGCCTCTTCCACGTTCCGTCATCCATATCTGCACTCCACCGTAGATGGTACGCAACACCTTCCGTTCGAAAACACCAAGGGCGCGTTGGTCCTCCACGAGCATAGTTCAGGTCTCGTGGCCGTAGAGGACCACCGGTCTAATCAGCGTCTTGTAGACAATCAACTTCGTGCGGTGCGGTGGCGTATCATTTTCGGCGGTCACCAGTGAGCCCAAATACACGAACTCATCGACCACCTCGATTTCGTCACCGTCAATCTGAACTCGGGGTGGGAGGCTAACATTGTCTTCCCTAGAACCTCTTCCGTTCATGTATTTTGTCTTTGATGCGTTGATGGCAAGTCCAATCCGCCTAGCTTCAGCCTTCAGTCTGATGTACGTTTCCGCCATAGTCTCAAAGTTCAGTGCCATGATGTCGATGTCATCGGCGAAGCCAAGAAGCTGGATGTACTTCTTGAAGATCGTGCCACTCGTGTCTATCCCTGCTCTTCTGATCACACCTTCTAACGCGATGTTGAATAGCAGACACGAAAGTCCTTCACCTTGTCGTAACCCCCTTCGAGATTCAAAGGGACTCGGGAGTGTCCCCGATACTCGAACAACGTACATCATAGCGGCGCCGGTGGTACAGTGGTAAGCGTGATTACCTCTCACCCCAGCAGGCCTGGGTTCAATCCCAGTCGGCGCCGCCGGGATGTTCTGAGGCATAACATCTCTGATCACGCCTTCCTTCGGAAGGGAAGTAAAGCCGTTGGTCCCCGG